GGCTATGTCAGTCAGTGGGTGGCTATGTCAGTCAGTGGGTGGCTATGTCAGTCAGTGGGTGGCTATGTCAGTCAGTGGGTGGCTATGGTCACTAGGCATTATTTCCGCCTTTTTTAGAACGTTTGTTTTGTGCAGATATTCAGAGTTACTTAGGTCTCTACCAATTGTGAGGCATCGTGGTGGAATCAGGCTCTCGTCAATTTTTGGGCATCTGGAGTTATTAGTATAGTCTTAAAACTTGTTCACTTGTCTTTATTTTGGTGAAAAAAAATCCATTTATCTTGAATACAAGTCGAGATATTTGCGAATGAAGGAGGTGGGTGTCACCAGTTTTCAAAGGTAAAATTAGTGAGAAAATGGCCGCCAAAGATTAGTTATTTCTTAAGCTTAAGAGTCTGTGGTGACTGAAAATTTTCTTTTTTTTTGTGCCTTTAATCAACGTTTTTCAGAAAAATCCACACCGAAATGAGTTCTTTATTGGGCATGAAAGGAGTTGAGCCAAAAAACAAAAATTTAATAAAAATTGACAAACCAGCGGAAAAATGCAAGTTTCTTCACTTTGTTTGATTATTTTGACGAGAGCCTGATTTCACCGCGCTGCCTCACATTGGTTTTTGGTGTCTTTCTGATCAACTTGTTTATTTTTATGATATGCTGTCTCGCTGCCAGAGCAAGTGATACCAAAATGTATCAAAGTTTTTTTTATTGTGGTGGTGTAGAATATCTGAAGGATGGATGGATTCAGATTGAAAGACCTAAGTTTCCTCAGGAAGTCCAGCCTCTGATTGACCTTTTTGACACTATTAGTTAAGTGATTTTGCCATGTCAGTTTGTTGTCGATTGTGAGACCCAGACATTTGTAGAAATCCGTGATTTCAATTGTTTCTTGTTCCATTACGAGTGGTGGGATTTTTGGTTTTTCTCTTCTAGAATTAAAAATCATTTCCTTCATTTTTGAGAGGTTCACTTTTAGCTATAGTATCGAACGGAAGTACGACTTGAAATAAACAAACCTGGCAGATTTTCTAAAATGACAGAGACAGAAGCGTCGGCCTACAAAAGCAATCGGCGAAATAAAGAAATTTAGCTTTATGCAGCAAAACTGTCTCAAAACTGAAAAAAAACCGAAGGGCGTCATGATCTGGAGAATATTCTAAAGAATCTTTTGGCGAAAACCGCATGTCGATCGATGCAGCCATTAAAAAGCCTTTTGAATAGCAACATTCGGCCTCCACAAATATACAATAGAAAATGGTTTCGGTAAGTTCGTCAATGTCCTTGCAGGTGTCTTTGAACATGTCCCAGTCTGTAGAGTGGGTGGTTGGTGAGTGGTTGTTGTTATCGATCCAAATTGGTGAGTGGTTGGAGGGTGGTGGTTGGTTGATGGGTGTTGGGTGGTTGGTGAGTGGTTAGAGGGTGGCTAGTTGGAGCAACAGGACTAAAAAGTGGTCTAACGGTCCGAACAGATTATTCTATCTATCCCCCCCCCCCCAGGCCCACCCCAGTATGGAGCGTGTATCGGAGGTGGCCGGGGTGAGACTCAAGCGGCTGTGGACGGACAAAGGGGGCGTAATGCACAGTGACACGCTCAGGTTCGCCATTGAGAAGGACAAACAGAAGGGTTATTTCCCTTTCCTGGTGAGTCGTTGGTGACTGGCGGACTGAATCAATGAATGAATAAATGAATGAATGACTGACTGACTGACTGAATACTGACTGACTCACTGACTGACAGACTGATTGACTGACTGACTGACTGACTAACTGACTGGCTGACTGACTGACTGACTGACTGACTGACTGACTGACTAACTAAGTAGCAGAAGAAATAATGGAAAACGTTATGCTTGAGCTAACACAATATTAATTCCATTACAAACTAACAGTTTGATGAAATAAGCAGCATATTCCCAAAGTAACTAACCTTCATATAACAAATTAAACAATAATGTATTGATGAAATAAAGAATTGACTAATTATTACATACCTAACTGACAAATTGATGACTAACAAATGATGACATAAAGAACTGACTAACTGATAAAATAACAGACTGACAAATTTGGATAAAATAACGGACAGACAAAAAAAAATGAAACAACGTACTGACAACTTATAACATTAACTAAATAACAAACTAAAGAAATACGATTTTTTTTTTAAAGATAAAAATTACAACTGACAAATTAGGAAATAACTGGCAGACAAAAAACAATGATGAAATAACGAGCTAAGAAATCGACGAAACAAAATATAGAGCAAGCGGTTCGACGCTTATACAGACTTCAACAAATGTTAAGGACCACTTGCAAACACTCCGAGTGGTCTTCTTGGGTCGACCTGCGCGTGGGGCGTTCTTGGACAGATCCAGTGGCGTGATGGCGCTGCCTCAGGCAGACAATGACAGAGTATGACACTGCAAACCTTCTGGCAACTTCTCAGACTCCAACTCCATCCTGCACCCATGCCATAGATCTGGCACGATCAGAGTCTCTCTGCTTTCGTCTTGGTGGAATGTTGATGCGATACTGCATTTTTCGCAAACGGTGGCTTATATTACCATGGAAGTGAGCACAGTTCGCGACCATACGTTGGTTTATGACGTGCACCAGAAATGTTAACTGAGGAAAGTCCGCGGTGTCGCACACAAGTCGATAAAAACCAGCAAAATTGGGTAATATTCCCCTGAAGATTTCCGTAGTGCATGTTGTGGTTTTGCACTTTCAGGAAGCTTTGCATTGGTAACCCATTATCACTTCCAGAGCAAAAAATAAAATTTGAAACATTCCTTGCTGTCTTTTTTCGGATTTTTTAAAAATCAGGGCTGTCTGTGAAGGTGGTCCTTAACTTATGTTGAAGTCTGTAGGTTTGAACCCTGTTCCTGTGTGTGTGTGTCCAGGTGATAGCCACAGTGGGGACCATTGCCAGCACGTCAGTGGATCAGATTGGGAAGATAGGACCTGTCTGTGAGTACATCTGTCTGTCTGTCCGTCTGTCTGTCTGCCTGTCTGTCAGTATGTCTGTCGGTTTGTCAGTAGGTCGGTCTGTCTGCCGGTCTGTCTGTCTATCAGTACGTCGGTCTGTCTGCCGGTCTGTGTGTCTGTATCTCTATCTGTCTGTCTGCCTGTCTGCCGGTCTGTGTGTCTGTATCTCTCTCTGCCGTTAGGTCAGATAATAGAGTGGTAAGGTTAAAGTAACAAATGATGATGATGATGATGATGATGATGATGATGATGATGATGAGGATGATGATGATGAGGATGAGGATGATGATGATGATGATGATGATGATGATGATGATGATGATGATGATGATGATAATGATGATGATGATGATGATGATGATGATGATGATAATAATAATAATGATGATGATGATGATGCACTACCTGACGAGACCAAAAAGACGTAGGTAAAGTTACGCCCCCCTCCCCTCCCCTCCCCTCCATCCCCAGTGTCGGATGAAGTGCCCAAGGTGTGGTTCCATATCGAGGCTGGCTACGCCGGAAGCTCCTTTATCTGTCGGGAGTACCAGCCCTTGCTGCACGGGATAGACGTACGTTGGTGTGTGCTCATGTTTTAGTAGAGGTTTTACGGCGCTCACAACTGCATAAGGTTATGTTTACGCAGTCAGATGCAGAATTGAATACTTACTTTTACCTTTACTTGCTCATCCTCTTTTGCTGTTAAGCGTCGAGGGGAGATGCAGTTTTCTACGGTAGGCCAGCTCCGCAGCTCTTTCAGTTGTGATGTTATGTTTTCTTATGGTTTCCTTGACACCCTTGATCCATCATTTGCGTGGCCTTCCTCTTCCTTTATAGCCTGAGTGCTTGGTGTTGTAGGCTCTGAAGGCTTGCTGATCAGGTGACATGCGTAACAGAAATGAATACACTATGAAATATGTAAAAATCCAAAAATCGGAAAATTGTGACCATTCGTCGTTTTCCCTTACGACGGCAGATATGAGCGCCAAGGGGTGGATGTCAACAGAGAAGTCCAAAAGGGGAATCGGGCTTACTCTGCTCACCTCTCTAGCCTCAACAGCACAAAGTCTGCTTCGACTATCGAGCCACCCCGGGAATAGCAGTTCACTAGAGAGTGACAAACATACAAAAGAAGTAGAGGGAAAATGACGGTAGCAAGGATGAGGAAAGAAAGAGAAGCAGTTTCCCTTATGTTGTTCCGGCACAGCATGAGCATGGCAATGATAAGTCAGCCCATTTACAATTTTACTGTGCATAAGAACCTGCATAGAGGTTCAACACATGTGAAATCAAGTACCAGTTGGCCAATAAAGGATCCGGATGTTTTGCGCTAACTCAAGAGTACATCCTACTAAAATGATTCAGTCAGCAATATGAAATCCAATGTTTTTTCACACCACGCACTCAATGAACAACGGTCGAAAGAATGTGTTGTAGAAAAGGCTTCTGTCACGTGTATGATATTGGGGAGGGGGGGGGGGGTGGCGTTGTACTTTTGGACTTTTATTTTTATTTTTTTGTTTTTAGGTTCAAAGAAATGACAATATAAAATTCTGCATGTTCACAGAACTGATATATTAAGATGTATGTTAACACAACTGATATATTAAGATGTATGTTCACAGAACTAACATGTTATGTTGTACACAGAGTTCACGGGATTGACATATGATGTATCCATCTTACTGGCCCCCTCCATCTCATCCCACCCCTCCCCCCCCCCATCCCCCAGTTCGCCGATTCCTTCTCTATGTCTGCACACAAGTGGATGCCGGTACACATGGACTGTGCTTGTCTGTGGTAAGTCAGATGTCTGCTCCAACGCCCTTAATAGATAAATAAATAAATAAATAAATGAATAAATGAATAAATAAATACATGAATAAATAAATGAATAAATAAATAAATAAATAAATAAATAAATAAATAAATAAATAAATAAATAAATAAATAAATAAAAAAAATAAGAAATAATAAATACATAAATAAATAAATAAAAAAATAAAAAAATAAAAAAATAATTAAATAAATAAATAACACTTTATTGATCTCCATAATGTTATTAAACACACAACCATACATACAAGGAATACCCAAGACACAGCATTACACTAATTACACTAATGCAGAACAGTTTTACGAACAGACCAACAGACAAATAAACAAGTTCTAACCCTATCCGTACGCCCTTGGGTCATTTTGTACCCCCGGGATTACAAGTATTCTTCACATTTTAGAATACTTCTAGTACGAGGATCTCTTTGAAACTTTCAGTATTTCTCTAAAAATCATTTTGACTGACTACTATGCAAAGCGTACGGATCGGATTACCGAGTAAATTTCCTCTTTGGAAAGTGGGGACCCAGGGTTCCCTACGTCGTATGGATACGATAGTAAAACACGACGTGCGAATAGGGTTAAGTGGTGGCACAGAGTTCCCCACGTCGTATGGACACGATAGTAAAACACGACGTGCGGATAGGGTTAAGTGGTGGCACAGAGTTCCCCACGTCGTATGGACACGATAGTAAAACACGACGTGCGGATAGGGTTAAGATGATACCAGTAACTTCATATGCCCCCAAAGTGACAAGCACCCTATTACATTGTGTTGTGAGAGAAATGAACAAGAAGCTTTAGGATGATATCAATGTCAATAACTCCACATACCCCCAAAATTTAACTAGCGCCTGATATTTCTATGCGTCGTGGCACAGTTGTAATCAGAGGGGGGAGGGGGGGGCGTCTACATAATCACGTGATCTCTGCTTCCCGTCCGTAATTTGAGAACATCGTCGCCGTCAAATCGTTCTATGTGGATAATAAATAGCATTTGTATAGCGCATGTCCCCGCTCAACAGCAGGCTCTATGCGCTTTACACTATATTATTACTCCAGCAGACCATAGAACCCTCCGAAACATTTTCCCGGGAAGCTTACAGTGCAAGCAGCTGATTAAGCGCTCAAACACTAACAAACTGACAAGATCTTTCGCTGTCTATAGCCGGGTATCCATTCCCACCTGGGTGAAGTGAGGAAAATTCGTGTAAAGTGCTTTTCCCAAGGACACAACGTCGGGCCCCTGACGGGATTCGAACCCACGACCTTATACGGGATGCCCACTACAGCTGGATCGGGCCGATCGCCCGACTCGATCGCCTGAAACTGAAAACAAACACGTTTGTTTTTTAGGCGATCGAGGATCGGCCGATCCCATCCGTAGTGGGCACTCCGCATTACGGTTGCGAGTCCGAGTGCCTAACCACTAGGCCACCGACGATGGTTGGCGGGTGCTCTGTGTGGTTTGCATCTTTTTTCCTATCAAACACCTATCGTCCTTATCTCTCCTCCTTCTTTTTTTTGCGTTTGTCCCTCTCTTAATTGTAACACCTCTAATCCTCGACACTTATATGACCTAATTGTGTTGCAAATGCCGTAAAACACTTACTGAAACTATTTTAAAAATTATTACGTAGACGTAGGCCTTAAAATTTAAACAGCTTGAATTCAAGCCGCATGCCCAACACTCAAAACTATTTCATTGCAATATAAAGACCCTGTACACCCCCTTTTAGACCACTCTCACCAGCAGTCACAAGCACTTATTATGTAAGCTAACAACTGGATTAGTAGAGTCTACCTAAAAAAGGGAGGGGTGGGGTGGGAGGGGGGGGGGGCTGACTCCGTGGCTTCTGTTAGTACTTGCTGTTTTTTCTTCGACTCTCTGCCATTCTATAATCAGGTCATTACATTATTTTTTTGGCCCAAAAAAAACTAGACAAAGACAGCCAAATTTGAAGTCAAATTGCTAATACATGTTTGCAGTTTTGTCGTCTGTGCCTCTTTTTTCGCCTTCTGCTTGAGTAGTCACGTCTGTGGTTAAATTTACTGTTGAACAATCTTTAGACCATTATCCCAACCGTGCGTTTAAAAGTTTTAATTACATTTCGCCCGAAGTGGGAATAAATACATTGTTTAATGAGATATTTTCTCGATTATTTTGGCGGGTGTCGGCGGGTAAGCATAAAGCATGAATTCAGGGTTTGTTTTCTTTCCCACCTCAGTGATGCCGCCTCGATTAGAATTTTTTTTCAATAAGGTTTTTCTTGTATGACCTCATTTCTACCTGCATGGGTCTTTGTCTTTGATTACCCTTTGTCTACCTGTATGGGTCTTTGTCTTTGATTACCCTTTGTCTACCTGTATGGGTCTTTGTCTTTGATTACCCTTTGTCTACCTGTATGGGTCTTT